AGATACACCCCGTATGGAAAAAATTCCAGAATATGAGGAGCATGCAAAGTTTGCAAGAACACAAACACATTCAGGGACAAAAACCTGAAAAGATGCACACATAAGTTCACCATGACTACCCGGATGCCCGGGTAGCCAGGCTGAGGGGAAACTGTTATGGACCCATATAAGGGGTCCGTCAAGTGATAAGCCCAACAAGGGGCAATCCAAGATATGAATCAATACTAATCATGGATAGATATCCATCAAGGATACTAATCCTGATACGACAGCATAACAAGCAGGCTTGAGCCTTCACCAGAGGCACCAAAGGCCCATCCACGCTACCCACAGGTAACCTCTATAAATACAAGGTAAACCCTAAAGGTACGTTACGCTCTCTCTTACTGTTATGCTGTGACTGTGCGCACACACACCTCATTGGCTAACGCCGTTATAGTATTCTGTGCATAGTGATCTGCTTGACTCAAGGGTATCTCCTTCATAGACACCTTGGAGGGGGCACTAGATCCAAGATAAACATACCAGCCTATTGGGCTGGACATCTCTGTCTCAAGGATAGAACAAATTGATTTTTAGAGCCTATGTGTCCTTCCCCCTATAATAGGCTTATATGCATTTGCAAGTTTTGCACAAGTAGATATCTTTTCTATGAGGAGGAAGAAGTCCAAATTTTCATGGAAGGGTTCGCTTTTTATGCAGTTACTGCAGATAATTTATCTGCAGTAAGCCCAATACGACGTTGTTTTGGGATGGAAATCATGATATTTTTATAATTTTAATTTATTCCAGAGTTATTATAGTCTTTATAATTATAATTATTTAATTTTTCAATGCCAAAACGACATCGTTTTGGGAGTATATGCAGATAACTTATCTGCAGTAACTGCAGAAATATTTTTTCCTTAAAAGAATAACTAAAATAATAATACTTTATTATTCAAAATTATTAAAATAATAATTTATTTATTTATTTTATATAAATAATATGATATAGGCCGGCCTGTAGGCTTATAGGCCCGACATGTACAAAAAAAACCTACGGCCTATTTTTTAAATAGTTTTTTTTAAAGCCTATGCTTGTTCTATTTTAATATTTGTAATAGGCCAAACTTGACCTAATATAAGCTAGACCGTAGGCTCGTATAGACTGACTTAACCCATTTACACTCTTAAGTCCAAGGCTTTGGAGATGATAAAGAGGATGTAACCGTTGTGAGCAGAAACATATTCGACCACCAATTGGTGAGGTACGATCCTGCTATTTTACCACAATTGGTAATGCTCGATATTAGCTATTTTCTAAATTGTGGATTTACCTTCATCGAAAGAACCAAACTGGTTTAATGGGTTAACTTGGATGGTGGCATATTTTATTCATTATAAGCTCAACCCATTTCAAATACATGATTAAGCAAGTCAACCCAACTTAACATTTTATTAATTGTTGTTATATTTTATTAAACTCAAATATTTATAATAAAGATGAATAAACAATAAATATTTGACAAATAATCAAGAACATTCATATATAAAGAAACATAAATAGAAAAGTACATTTAATGGTAAAATACAGTAGACTCCAAAATAATTTAATGATTTTTCTTTTGTTTTACGCATTAAATAAGTCTTAATGACTAAAAGTTCTACTCCATTTACTTCATTTTTAATGTTATTTTAGGTAATTGTATATAAACTTTATAGGAAAAATATTTCTGCACGTTACTGCAGATAAGTTATCTGCATGCATTTATTCCCAAAACGAAATCGTTTTGAGATTAAAATCTTAAAAAATTATAAATATAAAGACTATTATAAATCTGAAATAAATTAAAATTACAAAAATACCATAATTTCCGTCCCAGAACAATGTCGTATTGGGCTTACTGCAGATAACTTATCTGCAGTAACTGCAGAAAAAGCAAACTCAAACTATATATATATATATATATATATATATATATATATATAGGGAAAAATGTTTCTGCAGTTAATGCAGATAAGTTATCTGCATTTATTCCCAAAATGACGTCATTTTGGTATTGAAATCTTAAAAAATTATAAATATAAAGACTATTATAACTCTGAAATAAATTAAAATTACAAAAACACCATGATTTTCGCCCCAAAACGACGTCATATTAGGCTTATGATAACTCATATTTTGTTACACTTATTTATTACTCTTGGTTGGTATTTTTATGATTTATTTGAATTAAATAAAGGTCTTTTGGGTCGATTCACAATTCTAGATTTTAGTTGGGTTTAATTGATTTTCGTCATAATTTTCCAGATTTACACTACTTCTGTATTTTGACCATATATCACTCTACAGATGTCCGATTGACTCCGTTCTTATTTCTTTTTTCAGCTAACAGATAGGGATACAATCGCTATTTCAGCTATTGAAGCCCAATTCGGACGGGAAGATGGTCGAAACTTGATCTCAAGATGACATGTTTTGCTGGAATTCTATTTTGACGTTTGAACTTGTAATTTTCATTAGGACCCAATGTGTTTAGGGCCCAAGGCCATGTTTTATTATTTTATTTTATTTTATTCAGCTTTTATTTTATGTTTGGGCTGAAGCGATGAAACCCTAGCCGTCCTGCGTGACGGCTATTTAAAGGGGACTCTAGGAAACCCTTGGGAGTGAGTTTTTACAACAGAGAAGTTCTCTCTGAGTTTTTATTCAATTGCGTTCTTCATCTCTTTTTCTTCTTCTTCTTCTTTTTATTTTAATCATGTTTACCTTAGCCATGCGAGGCTAAGAACCTTTTAATCAACCTAAGGGTAATGGATTCCATGGATTAGTCTTGAGGATCTGCGTTTATTTCAAATCAGTTTTGTTTCCCCTCCCAACTCAGATTGATATCGTGCGATCGTGGATATTCAATCTGAGGTTCGCGATTGCGATTATAGAAAGGGATTAATCATCAGATTTGATGATTAGGTTGATTGACCCTATGACCTTAAATCAAGCGGGCTGATACTCTGCGATTGTATGAGTAGAAGCATTGTCTTTGATCAAATTCTAAGCGATCGCTTAGAGAGGGTTGTCAATTGGAAATAAGGATTCTGATTCGATTGACAAATCAACCACGATTCTGATATCCTCTTATCCGAGGAAAGACGTCCATGGAACCCAAACCTTAGGTTGATTATTTTTAATTACGAATTTTACATCCAATTTTACATTCTGCCTTTTTAAATTATCAAACTGAAATCAAAACAAACCCCCCCTTTTATTTTCTGTCATCATAAGCGATTTTTACCCAAACAATTTCCTTGAGAGACGACTTAGGGTTTGCACTTTACTACAAAAATTTCCTGAACCCTAAAGAATTAATTTTTAATTTGCGCGAGTTCGACAGCTCGTGTCAGCTTACTGCAGATAACTTATCTGCAGTAACTAAAGAAAAAGCGAACCCATATATATATATATATATATATATATATATATTATTTATTTATTTATAATTTAATCTCCACACATGGTCAACATTTTTTATTCTTGATTAAAATTTTCTCTTTTTTTTGTAAATGATCCTAATTACTTCTTTGAGGTGAATTAGAACTCCCCGGTATCCCCACGGGTTCGACTCTTTGAGCCGCCTATGAGACTAATTCAGAGTTCGGGTGCGGGTCCAAGGATTACGGTATTTATGCTCCTCCCCAGATGGTGTTGATGGGATTCGAACTGAGGTCTTCTCCCACCACTCAGTCCCCCCATGCTACCAACTGAGCCACCACACTTGGGTAAAATTTTCTCTTTTTGTTACTGTCTTTTTCTTATTATCAAAACATACCTTATATACACACATACATATATTGCTGAATCTTAATTAACTCGGTTGCAAAAATTTTATTATAATTATCTAGAACTTGAAATAAATCGATTTATTGTTTTAAATGCTATCAAATTAAAATATGTGAGTTATACTATGTGTTTTGGAAAATATTTAAATTAGTATTATTACTGGGTCTTAAATAGGATCTTATTAACCACTATTCTAAATATACTAATTCATTACTGTTTTATATTTTTATTATTTAAAGAAAAAGTATTTCTTTAATTTTAAAATATTAAATGCTATGCTTTTCATTAATTACTTTATATTCATTAATTCACAAGAAGAATCAAAGTTGATGGAAAATGAAGCAAAATCAAAATTGTTGAATCGCAATACTTATCCTATATCGTTTGACTCATTTTTTATATCGTATATAGTGAATCGTAACATACATAAATATAATAAAAAAATAATTTTAAAATATATATTTAATTATTTCTTTATTATTATAGATTTTTAAGATTGATTTTTGACTTCAAATCACAAATCAAATATTTATTTTCTTTTTTTATTAATAATAATTGTTTAGATTTTTTAATTTAAATCTTAAATCAATTTTTTTATATTAAAAATTACAAATTTAAATTTAATTTTTGTATCATATAATACACAATATGTATCATATCGTAAAATATAGTAACGTATCATCTTATATAAATCCATTTTTAATCACCCATAATACGTATCGCTGTGTTTATTATATTGCATCGTACAAATTGTATCTTCTATATCATACTATACGGATAACTATGAGCAAAATCACCGAGGAATTGAAATTCAAATATATAGCCAATGAAGTTATTAAAAGTAACTGCTAAAAACTTATTAAAAATAGTTTTTGCTGACATTAACAAGTATTGAAAAACGAGCCTTACACAAAAATCTTGCAACTCCTTGAGCTGGCTTTTGTAGTGTAGGTCCACACTTACCTAATTTTTTTATTAATTTTATCTTTTTATGTGATTATATCCCTTCTGATCAAACATAGGTTATATTTTGCTTTCTCCATACACTTGTCAACTACAATTATTATATATCATTTTGTGAGTTATATAAAAATGGTTTCTTTTCATCAGTTTAGAGTCATCATCCCTTCCTCCCAGACAATTTGTTTTCAGTCCCTTTCATTACTACACATTAGTAGAAATGGCTCCCAATCCCATTACCAGAGAAGAGCTTCATCTATTTCACCAAATTGACCGCGAGGTTTTGTGTTTATTGATTTTCAAACTACATCGTGAGTTAAGTGAATCCCTACTAGTCATGGCCTTGTGGCTATGGCTAGAAAGCATTGGTTATCCAAACATCATTCGGAGAATTATGAGTCTACCAAACAATGTTGCTGATGCTTTGGTTAATGAAGCTGCGGTTTGTCTGCACTGCTTGGAGACAAATGATGATCCTGTCATTCCAAATGGTGGAGGCTTACCCGTCACCCAAAGAGTAATGGAGAGAGATGTCTCTCTTCAAGTCTTCAACGAGAAAAGATATACAGCGATTGCTGGTATTAAAAGTGTTTTAAAGAACATTTTTTCTCGTATTTTCACTGATGTTGTTGAGATTATTTTGAAAAGCACTAAAATCAATAAAGCTAGCACATCACGAGCCAGCACATCAAACAAGCGTTTAATTGTCCCTGGTTTCCCACACCCATTGTTTGGTAACTTTGATTTACAACCAATAGAAAACGTGGATTTGTTTGATGAGAGGATATGGGATGGAAAGCTACCCTTTGATGATGTTGCTGATGATGATAAATCTATGTTTCTAACATTTTCCAGAGGCTTCCCTGTGTCTGAAAATGAGGTGAGACAATTGTTTACAAGGGCATATGGAGATTGTGTGTTAAGTTTAACTATGGGGACTGTTGACGAGAATGACCAACCTTTGTTTGCAAAACTGGTTTTGAAAACGGTGGAAACAGTAGATCAAGTTCTGAATGGAAAACGTGTTGCAAAGCTTAAGATCAATGGGAAACACATTTGGGCTCGTAAATTTCATCCTTAGCTTGTTTTTCCTTATATCTCTACAGAATTACATCTTTGTCTATCTGAGTGGAATGTCACAAATTGCTGATGAGTATCTTATGACCAATCTTCTTGTTTTGTATCCTTTTTGTCATTATTAGCTCACTACTCTATGCTTTTTATGTAGATGGATGGAGTTTATAAATGTAAAGCTTGATTAAAACTCCTATTTATTGCTTTAATTTATTTTTTAGAGTGGATGGATTTATGTATATAAACCGTGTTTCGCAGTTCACCACTCGGATTCCCAATTCCTCTCTTTTTAAGGATGTTGTCATATTATAAATTAAGATATATAGTATTGTATGCACAGTGCCAAAAGTAAGGAAAAACAGACAACAAAATAATTAAAATCAAGAGAGTAATAGATTCGATCTTGTCAAGTAAGAGAATCAATGGTTTGCAACAAATTTTTCATGAATTTTAGACTCAATCTGGTTAAGTAAGTGGAAACAAACATATTTTAATATAGGAAAAAGCATGTGTCCTTTTAAAGGACACACACTTAGAGATACATGAATAAATTATAGGGGAGATAGAGTGAAGGAAAATTTTTATAATTTCAATTTTAAAAAAATGCATTCCATTCATCTGAAAGGACCATCTTTTTAAATGATAGACATTTTTCTCTTTAATATATGTAACAGAGGTTCTTTTGGCCATAAATTACCATGTTTACAAAATGAATGAAGAAAAAACAAGAAGTTTATTTGATTAGATTAATTATGGCAAAAGGTGCGAGTTTCTTTTACCATATGAAGTTAAAATTAATTGCTATTATTGTAAAGTAACTCATTTCGCTGCAAACCCTAGGCGCCACCTCTCCATTCTTGGCCGTCACCTCTGAGTCATGTTTTGCTCACATCGTCAGTTCTTTCAGTACCTCTTGTTTTTTTGGGTAAAGTATTAAGGGATTTCAGGTGATTGTTACACCAACGATGTTGATAGAAAACTCTGATTGAATCGAACTTTCTATGGACTCAAGAGTTAATATATACATCATCAAAGGATCCCAAGGTTTTGTTCCTGAGGCCTTGGAAAGCTCATTAAGGATAAGGTTTGGGTTGATTTCCAATATGAAAAACCTCCTTCCTAATGTTATTACTATGGTAGAATTAGACACGAGGAACTCAACTACTCTTTAGTGATAAACGTTCATAGAGATAAGAAGTTTAGACCATGGTTAAAAGCATTTCAAATTGGTCTGTAGGATTGAATATACGTATACAAAAATTGATTGTAAATAGGTAACATCACCAATCCAAATTCGATGTTAAAGGTCAGGGAAAAGCGTTGATTAGTGGACAAATTTCATCTCACCTATCACCATCCTCCATGAAGCAAAATTGAACCCCAACATAGACCCAATGTAGTAATGATTAAGTCTTGGACAATGTCTGCCATATACAACAAAGAATCAATATTGTTCAAGGAACTAGATGCAAGAGTCAGTACTGACACCTCATAATAGAGTGAATGAATCATATAAATATACATGAAAGATATCATAATTCTCCATCATCTTCTCTATATGTTTTGCATGCATTGTGCTCTTAATTAGTTAGTGGAGAGCTTTCTTTGAATGATATCTCCTTGAGTACTAGCTCCTGAACTTCTCATATTCATAGCATTCATGAGTTTCAATATCCTTGCTTATTTCCGTATACAGAAATTTATTTCCATATCAGAATGGAAATCCCGTTTCCATCTCAATTGAAGGATAATTTTTCTTTCTTATCTTATACCTTAAAGAGACAGTAGTTTCATTAACTTCTGCTAACTTTTATTTGAAATTGCAACAAAAAGTACATGATAACGGCTTTAGCAAGTAGAGTTTGTTTGAACTAACTTTGGAAGAATCCACGTCTAATGTTTTTGCCCTTGTCCTCGATCGGCTAGAATTGAGTGTCTGCACTCTAATATTAGGTTATACCTGGGACCTTATTGGTTCAATCAATGTCTTGTTGCTCTTGCTTTTGAATACACAACTTTCTCAACAAAAAAAAGTGTAAGTCGAGTTCGGATCACTATTAGAAAAGTCTTTATTATCAACGGAATTTTTCGAATAGTTGGATAATTGATGAACAAGTGAAAAAAAATAATAAAAAAGTATAAATAGGGATTAATACTTATAGCTTATTTATATGATATCGAATAAATTTTTAATGCATCAGATGCACCAAAGTTTCAGTGTTTCTATCCAATTATTTTGTGACACGTGGATACAAAACATCACATCATCTACTTTTTTTTAGATGATATGATATTTTTTTTGTCCACATGTCATAAATGAATAGACAGATGGACTGAGTTCAGTGCATCTAATGCACTAAAGATTTATTCATATAACATTGTAACACATCAAATCAATACTAATTTCATATTATTTAGTCGATATTCTCTTTTCTCTACCTAAATCTCTACACTTTTAATTGAGGTTTATTCCTTACATTTCCATGTAAGTAATCTATTATCGTGCTAGTCTAATTGAGATGACCAATGCCCTTTATTGGTCACTCTAGATTAGGAACAATCTTAGAGAATAGTCATGTAGTGAGCTCGAGTCCTTATAATCATAACCTCATCATAAATCCTCAAGACATACCTGTATCATTTCAAGAGTTTTTATCCTTTGACACATATTAGGAAGAGACAGATAATATGAAATAAATAAAACGTGCTTTAAAGGAATAAACATCAAATATCATAAAATGCTTAGTAATACATGAAATGCTATCTAACTCTCAAAATATTGTCTTTAGGGACACCTACTATATATTACTAATAATAAATAGTTTACATAAAATAAAAAAAATGAATGAAGCATTAGCATATGAATGTAAGAAAATATGAGATTTAAATACATATATCCCTTTAAAGTATTGATAAAGGGAAGAAAACAATTACAAATTTTAAAATGAAACAAACATATGACTTCATGAAGTGAGGAATTAAATTCAATAAAAAATTTGTAATCCCCCTATACAGCTATATAAATTTAAGATTATTCGAGTTAAAAAATAAGTTTTAGATTATAAAAGTTAAAAAAAGAACATTTGACGAAACCACCAAACTAAGCCTTAAAATAGTTCCAAACTCAAAAAAAAAAAAACCATGATTTCAACAATGATAAGTTTCAAATATTGTTTAATACCATTTATGCCGAACTAAAAACATTGATGGATAAATCAAACAGAGAGTAATAGGAACATTTATCGAGGATGGAAAACAAATAATGTGTATTGTTTTGATTTTTTTTTTGGAGAAGTACGTATTATTTTGATTTTAAACTATAGGTATAGTAAAGTTAAAAGGAAGGAACACAAAAATAAATTAAAAGGTTGAAGCCTTGAACATTGAAGATTTCAGTTATGAGGAGAAAATATAAAAGAATAAACAATAAAAAAGGAGGAAGACAGAAAGCCAATGAAAAATTGAAAAATAAAGTGATAAAGGAAATGAGTGAGAGGATACATTTCGGTCTCAACTAATACAAAGACTTTTGAGGTGAGAAGTAAGACACTACAAGAAAAAAATTTATTTGTGACAAAAATTTTCGTCACAAATTTTGTCACAAATGACAATTTTCGACACAAATAATCAAATTTTATCACAAATAAATTTGCGACTCAGGAATTTGTGATGAAATTTCATATGTAGTGACGAAATTTGCGACACTAATAAGATTTTTTCTTGTAGTGAGAGTGTCACCATCGTCAGTAAAAACAACTTCAACTACCGTAATAACTTAAAAAAAAATATCTGGTTGACTCTATCATTTAACTAGACTTTCATTCTCATGCATATTTCAGATCTGACGCAAGTTATATTTTTGGATCTCCATAACCTCAAACTCAATTATTAATTATATATATAAAGATGGGTTTTACCAATTTAGAGCCACTATTTTTTTCTCCTCGACAATTTTTTTTCTTTCCCTTTTCATCACTACTCATCACTAGTATAGGAATGGCTCCCATTACCATCGAAGATCTTCATCTATTTCACAAAATTGACTCTCGCATATACCCTTGCAAACAAGAGTTTCGCCTCCTTTTCCAACAAAGGGAAGCCACTAGAAAATGATAGAAACATAGACCTATATATTATCATTACATAGTTATTTTCCATTCCATATCCTCTTATAATAAGACAAACCTAGGTTCTTAATCTTCGTTGGTGTATCAAAGGTACCAAACAATGGGTGAGATAAAACAGGTGCAACCAAAGGCATGTTTGATGTGTTAGCTTGTGATGTGCTACCTTAATTAGCCTTGGTGATTTTCAAAAGAATCTCCATAAAATCAGTAAAAGTTTGAGCATAGATGTTTTTATGAATACTTTTGATACCAACTATTGCAGTGCACCTTTTCTCATTGAAGATTAGAAGAGAGATATCTCTCTGCATTAGCTTTTAGGTTAGGGGAAAACCTTCACCATTAAACAAAGCATCGGCAACAATATTAAGTAGACCCATAATTTCAGGGAAGACATCCAATGATTTCCAGTCAAAGCCATAAGGCCATGACTAGAAAAGATTGTGTTAGGTCATAATGTCATTTAAAGATTAAGGAACAGTCATATTTTGGATCAAACACAGGCTCTATTTTGTAATCTCAATACATTTGTCAACCATAATTATTAATTGTATGTCATTTGTTTCCCTTTCACCACTGGTTTCTAGTATGAATAGTGATCTTATTACTATCGCAGAACTTCATCTATTTCATAAAAATGACCGCAGAAGCTTCTTTGAGTATTAATGGGATTACCAACCAAATCATGGGTCTATCTCATACTCATGCCAATGCTTTGGTTAACGAAGTTTTGACTTGCTTGAAGTTCTTATAGGCATATAATCTTGTCATCCCAAATGGTGGAGACTTGCCTCTAACCAAAAAGCTAACGGTGAGGGATATATCTTTTCGAATCTTCAATGAAAGATGATACATTGCAATAAATGGTATCAAAAGTGTTCTG